CCTTTGGCTGCTCATGTGATGCCATCTCTGCCTCTTGGGAGCTGGCAGCCGCGAGACGGAGCGGGGTACCCAGCAGGCTGTCATTGGCAGCAGTGCTCTCCTGCGTGGGCATTGCTCCCTGGCAGATTTGGACTCGCTGTGAGGATCGTTTCGTTGCTTTGGGGTAGCGCTCTGGGTGTTTGTGCTCTGATCTTGAGGGAGCTCTTCCATTGCCACAAGGGACTGCGACATTTAATACACAAAATGGACCCATGGTGGTTCCTTCTCTGTAGGAACCCAACAGCGAATCAGTCCTTGCTCTATGAAAATGCTCATAGCGGTTGGTGTAGCCATTATAGAGCTCTCTTGAAGATGGAGAGAATGAAAACATTGAGTGCTCTGGCCCTTGGGAAGATGTACTTGTAGCCCTGTTGGCACTGGGGGTCTTGCTGCCCCCTCCCACAGCCTAGAGGCTGGGGTGCTGTGGCCCGAAGCGCTGCAGGTTCCCCAGGAGCTGGGCTCAGCGTATCTCAACTTGGTCAGCATGCCCAAGAAGGATGTGTGTGGTACCTCCTAGTATCTACAATGAATTTTTTTTTTTTTTTTTTTTTTGCAGTCAGAGAAAAAATCGGACCGATAGCAACGCCTGATTACATCCAGTATGCCCCCAGCCTGCCCAAAACCCGCTCAGGTAAGGGGCCCAGGGGCAGCGCTGGGGAGGACTGAGTGGTTCCTGCCAGTGGAAGGAAATTGGCCCTAAACTTCTTGTCCAGGGCCACTCAGATTCAAGGGAGAGCAACCTCAGGGCAAGCAGGATGCTGCAGGTCTGGGCACTCCCCACTCCTGCTAAGGATAATGAACTGATTGTGACTCTTGCTTTCCTTTCACGGCTGTCGTTACAGGAAAGATCACCAGACGGATATTAAGGAAGATTGCCAAAAATGACCAAGATGTGGGGGACATCTCCACCTTGGCAAACCCGGGCATCATCAAACATCTTTTCAACAGCAGATGTGACACTAAACAGTAGCAGTGGGACCTGTCCCTGCTGAGCAGGACTGTAGCAGCAGCAGTGTCCTCGTACGCAGGTCCCTGGAATAACGGCTGTCTGCCCTGGGAAGGAAACCTTCACCTGTTGAATGTATCAATGTTGTGAACAAGGGAACGGCTGGCTCTGGAGAGGCCGCGTCTCACCAGCGTGTCCACGCCTTGGAGGAGCGTGTGCATTGTGTTCCAGACGGGTATCGGACATCTGAGGTTCAGCCTCATGCACAGAAGGACTCATCCTCCTCCCTTTTCAGCACCTCATTCTTGATTTTTAATTTTATTTGTTGGGGGGGGGTGTTAATTAACTGTATGTAATTGAGGGGCCCTGGCCCCTTGTGCACAGCGGGAGGAGCTTTGGGGACTGGAGGGGAAGGGGTGCTGGAGTTGCTTAATGCAGGCAGGCAAAGGAGGTGCATCTGCCACTGCCCACGTGCCAGCTAAGCTTCCTTTTCTCTTGGGAGTGCTGTCAGCTGCGAGAGAACTTAAAAACACTCTCACATCATACCTGGAGAGCTGAGTTTTAGTCTTGCGTCCACTGCCCAAGCCTGTTGCTAGCACAAGGCCCCAGCCTGAAAGGGCGTGGGGCAAGGCTCAAGGGAGCTCTATGCTTTAAACAGGTTTTTTAGAGCCATTTGGTACCAAGATCTGCTGCTTCCTAACTGCACGGTGCCAGCTGCTGCCTTTTTCCCAACGCAGGGTCCGCCCCTGGCCCGGACACGATAGGGACCCACGTATGGTCTTGGAGGAGAAGTCTTGCTCTGACGTGCTCCATGGAGCAGCGCCTGCACCTGCTCTGCTGCTGCCAGCTCACAGCTGAAGGCGGAGGCTGCACCAGTGAATGCTCCTTTTTGTGTCCTGGGGTAGGAGCAGGTGCTGCTGATGCCAAGGGAGGGAGGAGAAGCAAAGCCGGGCAGAGGCACCTTTCCTGTTGCAGGCAAATCAGGGGCTGGGTTATAGCGCACCACAACCATTGCTACTGCAGAGAAACCAAGGCAGGGCTGCATTAGTCCTAGAGGATGTTTTCTCATCAGGAAAAAAGTAGTGGAAGATATTTACAGTTAGCTTTTGCTTAAATCTGACATAGCTTTATGCTGATGAGAGGAAAAACAAACCAAAACCTGTAGCCCAAGAGCCTGAACATCACAGGGGTACTGCCAAAGCCATTCTTCTTCAAATAAGTTAAACTCCAGCCCTGGGTTGAGCTGGGAGAGATACCTCCTCTGTAATGTCTGTATGAAAATGGCATGTGAGCCGTGTGATTTTGCACTTAAACCAAAGGAGAAATGGGCTTTAAAAAGTTTACTGCAACAGCTGTTGTGGCTTTACCTGCAAGTGGAGCTGGCTTTGGGCTGGGCTGAAAAGGATGAGGCCACTGCCTGAGGCTGCCTGCTCAGGGCAGGGGTTGCAGGTGCTCTCGTGGGCTGTTGTCCATGTCCCAGGTCTCACTTCTTACCTCTTACCTGCTGCTCTCACCCGCACGGCACATATCTGCGATCTGTACCCTTGCCGCATGCTGGTGCCCCCGTGCCCCCCACAGCTCTGTGCACCTGCGTGACAAGGATTCCCGCATCTCCTCTCCTGCTCCATTAACTCTTCATCCGCTATGTAATTTTGGCTGGAAACAACTAGAATTTTATGCACAATGGAATAAAATTGAAGGAAACAAAATGGAAACAGGCTTAGAGTGTGTGGGGGTTGTGAATGCTTGTCTGCTGTTGAGGCTGGGGGAGAGAGGGGGGTGCTCAGACATTGCTGTTGGACCAGCCGTGCCAGAGCTGGGGGTGGCTTTTGGGGATGGGGAGGTCATGGCCAGGGCCATGCTTTTTCATTGACTGGAAGTTACAGGCTCTGTGTCAGTCTGTGCTGCTGCCGCCCTGCACTGCAGTAAGGACAGAAGCTCCGATGCCAGAGCCTGTGCCTCAGTTTCTCCCTGGTCTCCAGCCACCATCAGTCCACTAAAGCTCATGGAAACATCAACCCCACCACGCAGGAGCAGGGCCAGGGAGTCAAGCCAAGGAAGCTCAGGGCTATTGATTGCTGCCTTGACACCAAACCAGGCCTGGAGGAAGCACCCTCAGCCTGGAGCCCACCATCCCTGGCACCCCCTGCCCCAGCAGCTCTCCATCAGCTGGTTGTGCTGAACCAGGGCTGTGGAGCCAAGTGCCAGGACACAGCTGCAGCGTGGTGCTGTGCAGCCTTACAGCACCCAGCGCAAGAGCTGCTGGGCTGGCGTTAGCTCGCCCCGGTGTGAAGCTGCATGAAAGGGTGATGCCCAGGCACACGCCTGCCCAGGGAGGAGGCACACACACCTCCCCTTCCCATCTCGTCTCAGACAAAACTGGCACAAGAGTGTTCAGATTGCACGCACCTTTTAATCTCTGGTTGAGGGTAATCAATCCCCCCTCCCCTCCCACAAACAGTCACCCAGGAATTGTAGAATCAGTCACAGTTACAGAACCGAGCGCTTTCTGCAGTGAAAGATCGATGATTGAAGCACGCAGCGCTGCTGCACAGCGACAGCAGCAATGCAGCCGCAGGGCTGTCAATCAGCATGTTCATTCTCCTTGCTTCATGCTGCCTCTCTCTGCTGTCACTAAAGGGTAGAGCTGAGGCTGCCTGGGCGCTTCACCAGGGCACTGCCAGAATGGTGCATCTTCAATGTCTCCCCTTGAACTGCTCAGCTGAGTAGGACAAAGGGTTGGAGGAAGAGGCAAAAGACCTGGGGAAGGTCCCCTACGTCCCTCTGCTGCTGTGCTGTTCCCACTAATTCATCAAACCTGGAAGGCGATACATCTTGCCATCACTTGTGCTGGTCCCAGAGTGAAACCCTTGGCCCCTGGGGCTGTGCCTGCTCTGCCTCTCCTGCATTTCCTTTGCTTCCTTGCCCCAAAGCTCCCCGTCTCAGCCCACCCAGCATCCCAGCAGGACCATTACTGAGGTCAAAGCTCCCTGACACTGCTCTTGGGCTGTATGTGCTGCGGCAGAGCAGGCGGGAGGTGCTCAGTGCAGGACGTGCAGGGGGATGCACTGGCACAAGCCCTCGGGGATTTGGAGTTGATTATCGACACGCTGGCTGTGACACAAGGCTCCAGTTCACCATCGTGCTGGGATCTGCCACCATCGCTGAGGGATTCTTACACCAGCCCCAGGGGAGCTGTTGGACAAGGCTGCAGGAGGCAACGGGAGCAGATGCAGTGCTCCCCCGAGGAGGGCACAGCCCCCAGCTGCATCCTGCCCTGCTCTCTGCTCTGCGTAGTGCAGAGGCACTGTTTGGGAAGAGTGCCCAGTCCCACAGGAAGCAGGCAAAGCAAGAGGCCCGTGGGCAAATCACACCAGGGCAGCTGTCCCTTGCACAGGAGCCGTGAGGCTCCTCAGGCACGGGGAAATGTAGAAATCTAGAAATCGGGGCAGCAGCACCTGAGCAAGGGCTGGAGGGGCCATGGGCATGTGGAGCTGTGCTCCCCTCTTTAACCTGAGAAGCACTGAGGCACTGGGCCACAAATCTCACAGCTGAAGGCTGTTCCTTGCACATCCACCTTTCTCCTCCCATTCCCCAGGGTTTCTGTGTCTGCAGGAATAAGGCAGCATCGAGGAGCACAGAACTGGGAATAGCACGAGTGCCTGGTGTGGCACATTCACCCTTCAGCATTGCTGTACCTACCCCAGCCCACAGGCTGGACGCCAAGGGAACACCCAGACCCATGCGTTCCTGGGGGGTCACAGCTGGGAGGGGTGTGGGACAGGGCCCACTGAGCAGGCAGAGCAAGGGAGTCCCTGCCTCCTGCAGGACAAATCACAGAGGAGAAGCAGCTGGGGCTGGCACACAGCACACCTCAGCAGTTGTGTCCGTACAGTCCCTCCTCACAGTCCCCAACACCTCAGGCTTTGGCAAGTGCACCCCAAGGAGAACATCGCTGTGGCAGATCAGCTCTTCGGGCAGCAGCGTGAGGCCAGCGGGATGGGGCATCACCTCCTCACACCAGGTAAGGGGTGTCCAGCACCGCCACCCCAGCTGCCACCCCGCCGTCTGCGTGCTCGATCGCCTTTGTCCGCAGGAGGTGGCCGGCGGCCTTGTTCATCACCATCTCCTTGCCGTGTCTGCAAAGAAAAGAGCAACTGAGCAGCTGCTGTGCAGAAAGCTTACAGCACTTCATCTTGGACAATTTGACATGTTTGCTGCCACGGCGCAGGGCAAGTAACCGGCACATAAAAGCCCCAGGGCTCATGCAGAGGTCTCTGCAGAGAACAGAGCTGCGCCCATTATGTGCCTGCCAGCCACAGTGCCTTTTCTCAGACGGGCCATTTTGGTCTGATCGCTCTGCACACAGGCAGTGTCAGGTTGTGAATGCTGCCAGAGTACATTTGTTTCTAAAATTCTACGAGAAGGACTTTAATTTATAAGCTCTTGAAACATTTCTATGGGCCTATGAGGGTTTTGAACAAAAGCAGCAGCTATTTAGGGTTGAACATAACCACATTAAGCCTTCAGATATTTCTGAAATTGCCAGGGCTTCAGAAAAGCGTGAGGCTGCATCCACAAGTGCTCCCAAAAATCACAGCTGAGACATGCCAGTTCCACATGCCTGTTACACCAGTAACCTCCAGTACCAGCTCTGTGGTTTTTCAACAACTCGTTTGGCAGCAGGTACAGAGCAGCAGTTCAGCATCTGAACACAGTGCTCAGAGAGCTGCTGACAGGGGCAGAGACCAAACAGTCACGTCTGTCCCCTGTACCTCCCCCTCCCCAGAGACATCTGCCCTGCTGCTGTGCTCAGACGGGGCAGGGGGGAAAACGCTCCCAGCACAAGCGCTGGCTGGAGCGGGTACCCACCCGGAACACAAGCACATTTCTCACCTGACGTAGACACCAAAAATACCGAGCTCCGAGATGCACTCGGACGCTTGTAGCGGACTGTGAGCCCTCAGCAAGTAATTCACTGCTGGCTGTGGTTTGATCTTATCCATCAAGATGTAGGAGGTTCTCTCAGGGCTGTCTTTGATCTTCTCCAGAACCTGCTTGAGCTCTTCACCATAGAGGTTGTTCCCTGACAACAAAACCAGCAAGTCAAGCACTTCCCAGCACAGCAGAAGCTGTTGGCCCCAGCTGTGCTACTGGCCCTGGCAGCCCCAAAAGCCCCAGCGTTTGCCTCCTCACACCCCAGCTCTGGGCCCTAGGGAGCTCCTGCAGCAGCAGCACTCCCTCACTGCCGTGACTAGTCCTCATGGCTGCAAGTAGCTACGAGTCATCCCACTCCTCCTTTTACCCCTCAGTGCAGGACCAGGAGCCATCACAGAGCTACAGGGTCTCCTGCATAGAGCATGAAAAACCCTCATGGACCCAGTGCAGCTCATACCTCCACCTTCTCGCTGTGGCTTCAGCACAAACTGGTCGGGGTCAGCGATCGCCATAGCAGCTATCTTGTCACCCTCTTCACCCTGGCAGGAAAGGACAGCAACAGCAAAGCATCAGGGAGGAGCAGGGGCTGAGCCGGACCAACAGGGTCCCCCAGGGACCACAACAAAGCCCTCTCATCTTTTTAAACAAAGAGAAATACCACGCAGACCAAGCACACATCTGCATTCCAGCCCTGCTCACACTCACCATGTCCAGGGAATAGAGTCCAGCAAACGTTGCTCTTATTCGAGCAACAGTCTCGGCACGGCCGGGCAGTAATTTCTCCAGTATCCCTGGCCGGCTCAGCTCCTGCTGGACCTTCTTGGTGCCTGCAAGCTGGGTAGCAATGTCAGGGCACTTCACTGCCCTGGATCTCTCCAGCAGCAACCGAGCCTCCCAATTCTGAGACAGAAAGAGAGCAACCATCCCGTCAGTCAAAACCAAACAAAACAAAAACGTTTTCTCTGCTCCTTTCTGTTTGGTTATTGACGTGATTTGCC